TTCTACGTAGTGAGGGTTATAATCCCTAAGCGCGACCGAAGGCCGCCTACGCAGAAAGATGTTCTATGCAAAAGGTTTTCGGCCCTTTTTCGTTGGCAACACAGAAAGGAGAATTCTACGTTGTGAGGGTTATAATCCCTAAGCGCGGCCGAAGGCCGCCTACGCAGAAAGGAATTCTACGCAAAAATACTGTGCACGCAAGTAAAAATTATTATTTATGTTATGTTTTTGTTCCACAGAGATTTTTTACCCCTTTTAATGGGTACCACTGTGGATTGTGCTGTTAGTTTTATTCAAAGTAACGTTTCTTTCTCTGCTTTGGTATTATATTATTTTCCAATCGTTATTTCGACGTTGTGTGTGAGCTCTGGGTTTATATATTATTATTTATTTAAACTAAAATGACTGACAATCAAGCTGGTATGTTTTTAGAGTTTTAAGTGTTTATATTTATACATCTACTAAATATTTATCGTATTATTTAAAGATTTCGATACGCCCTCCACTAGGCGTGGTGTTCATCCACGAAATGCGACTGTGCTGTGCGTCGCTAAATTACGCGGAATGTGGAGCCTTCTAAAGGTATCAAAGACATTTGATACGCGCGAAAAATGTACCACTTTCGCAGAGGCACAGGGTCTAATTTTAACCACGAGATTATGCCGTACGCATAAAATCCCAATGACGGTTTCACCATTGGGTAACAACACGGTCGGCAGCTTTCGATGCCGCAAAGGGAGCTCCCGTTCAAGATCGGGCGTTTCTAGGGCCACTGGTACGTGGTTTGAAAATACCAAGCTTCCACTACCCTACTACCAGACATTTTCTACCTAATGTACGCCTACGCTTCGCACTGGAACCAAGCTTCCACTACCCCACTACCAGACATTTTCTACCTAATGTACGCCTACGCTTCGCACTGGAACCAGGCTGAAGTCCGAAAAGAAAGCATTACCGAGGGAACCGTTTTGTCTAGCGCCACCATCTGCGATTGGTACAACTACTGTCGTGAGGCAGTTGTTTTGTATCAAGTCGATTAGCAGGAGGTGTTAGGCAAAATTGGGGCCCCGGTAAAATTGTTCAGATCGACGAGAGCAAGTTCGTGAAGCGAAAATACCAGAAAGGTACCAAAAATGTATTTAAAAAAACATATTCTTTAATTTATATTTTGTTTTAGGCAGGAGAGTGGAAGGCCATTGGGTATTAGGGATGGTTGAGGACAGCAGCGACGATCTGAGGCTGGAAGTCTGCCCAGAAAATGTCCGGTCTGCTGAGGTGCTCATACCCCTCATTCAAAAACATGTGTCCGAGGGTACAATTATTTGTACCGATGTTTGGAAGGCGTACGATTGCCTAGCGCACCAGGGGTATGAGCACAGAAAAGTAAACCATAGCGATTCGGATAACCCCTTTGTGGCAGACGACGGCATGCATACGCAAAGGATCGAATCACAATGGCGTGTGATTAAAAGATTTTTCAATAGAGACAACTACAATAATCCTCATAATTTTGCGGATAAAATTATAGAATATCTGTGGCGCAAAACAATTGCTCGTAAGCATGAGGACCCTTTCCTCAAACTTATTGACGCAATAAAATATACATATGTATAAGCCTTAATAATGTGTTTCAGTATTTTATGGGGGAATATGACCCCAATCCCCCTACTATTTATTTTTATCTGAACAAAAAAACCTTATCGTATTTTCCTTTTAATCGTATTTTCTTTTGGTCTTGCTTTCCATTCTTGTTTTTTTTGGATAGGGCAACACAGTCCTGCTGCCATTTGCACATATTCTGCATGTACTCTCATAAAATTAAACAACAATAAATTTTTGATAAAAAAGTTGTAATATACTAAAAGTATTTAGTTGTTTGAACGCGCACACTCTAAATAACGTGTAAATTTAGTGGAAAGTGCATTATATATTGTAAAATAGTGCCATACAAGTTGGTTAAATTACAAATTTTAATAACAAATTACTTAAAAACTATAAGGTTCCGCGCTTTAAAACTTTACATAGACCACCCTTAGAACCCGCTCTACCCGCTCAGCTCTGAAGACTGCTCCGAAAAGATTCCGAGTCACATGCCCGGTATTTCGTACAAAGGCTGCCGCTTTTACGTTACGTAATAGGTTTCCAGAAACGACGAATAACTTATGATTAACATTAATTAACTAAATATATTGCGTTAATGGTGCGGTTAAACGGCTAATGTTAAGCAAATTGTGTGGAATAAGTGTCTACCCAGTCTCCGTTTTGTATCGCAGAAAGTTGCCGACCTTGTTTTCATTTTTGTGGCAACTTTTAGTTGAATGCCACAGTTGCCCCGGTGTAAAACGGTCTGTCAACTAATGCCTTCCAACACAAAAATGTTACAACATCTGACGTTACTCGCTTGTATCATTTAAACCTAGTTGTTTGTTAATTAAAAAATAAAAATAACATATTTCTCTCAAAAATGGATAAAACGGATGAAGATGAATCAAATAAATTTAGTTTATTGGCACTAATCCATCCCAACGAATTGTGTGACAAAACCCTGGTTGAGCATGCCCACATAGCAATACCATAAGGGTCAGTTTCAATCCGGAACATCAGGACATGAGCAATTGTTTCTGGAGCTTCGAATTTCAAAATCGGTGAGTCATTTACTTGTGATGTGATGCATGCGCATATACATAACAAATATACCTAAACAATATTATTATTATAATTTATTGACGTTAGCGTATATACGTATTAGGGTGCATAAAATGATTACGGATCAGTATTGCAAAATCATAAATTAGATCTTGTTTCTTTAAAAGATGTCGGCTCATTGGTTTCTGTAGTGTTGCCTGGTAGTAGAAATAGTTTGACCAGTGGTCTTGTTACCTGTCCCTTTTCGGTCATAAGATCAATTACCCCCACTCGGTTGTCTGAACCTGGGTGCAACTTCACCACTCTTCCCAGTCTCCACTCGTTTGGCGGCAGGTTGTCCTCGTTTATGACGACAAGGTCTCCAAGTTCCATGTTCTTTTGAGAGAGCTTCCATTTAGTTCGCTTTTGCATTTCCGTCAGATATTCTGCCTTCCATCTTCTGCAGAAGTGCTGATGCAATGCCTTTAGCTTCTGCCACCTGTTAACTATCGATGCAGGGTTCTCGTTTACATCGATTTCTGGTGGGGCTAATATGTGTCCTCCGATTAAGAAGTGACCTGGATTGAGGGGCTCCAGGTCAGTTGGCTCATTTGAAGCTGGGCTCAGAGGTCGTGAGTTGAGACACGCTTCGATTCTACATAAGAGCGTACTGAGTTCCTCGAAAGTATATTTGCATCCTGAGGCTATCTTTTTAAAGTGAGTTTTGAAACTTTTAACTCCTGACTCCCATAGACCACCCATGTGCGGGCCCGCTGGCGGTATAAAGTGCCAAGACAGTGATTGATGGGTATACTTTCATAGAGCGTTGGTGCGAGCATCAGCTATGAAGGCTTTGAGTTCTGTTTTAAGTGCTCGTGACGCTCCAACAAAGTTTGTCCCGTTGTCTGAATAGACGTTTCTTGGGCACCCTCGTCTGGAAACGAATCTGCTAAAAGCTGCTAGAAAGGAAGCTGTACTTAAGCCGCTTGTGGCCTCCAAATAGATGGCTTTGGTAGAAAAGCAAACAAAAAGACAAACATATCCTTTTGAAATACGGCACCCGCGCCCGCGATAAATTTTTATATTAAAAGGTCCGGTGAAATCCACCCCCGTATTAGTAAACGGACGCGAATAGGTTGTCCGTTCTTGTGGTAGTATCGCCATTAGCTGATTTTGTGAGCGTTTCTTAAAGATCGTGCAGATCTTGCAATTGTAGATGATGGACCTTATCATAGTTTTGACCTTCGGGATCCAATACTGCGTTCGGATGAGACGCAGCATTAGTTGGTTTTCACCGTGGAGTGAGACATCATGGACGAATTGGACAGTCAGACGTGATAACCTGCAATTATAAGGAAGGATGATTGGGTAACGTTCGTTGTATGCCAGATCGAGAGATGCGCCAAGACGAACGCGTGTTCTCAATACACCGTTCTTGTCGATGAAAGGATTTAAGGGCAATATTTCGCTTTTCGCATCGATCGGTCCTCCCGATTTTAATTTCGCGATTTCCAGTCCGTAGTGTTGCTTCTGAGAGATTGTTATTAAGCGGGTTGTCGTTGGCTTAATTTCATCGGCTGAAATTAAGTAAGATTCCGGCTGAATTGAAGCTTTTGTTTTCGGATGAGTTCTTTGAGAGAATATTAACACGTAAGATATTACTCTCAAAGCTCTTGGTAAACTGGAAAATCGGTCAAGAATATCATTTGTGTTATCAGTCGTTGTTGTTGTATGAACGCTCACCCGTTTCTCTTCAATGTTTGTGGTAAAGTCTGTGGCTTGTGTTGGCCATTTTTCTTTATCTTCTTGCAGCCAAGAAGGTCCCTGCCACCACAACGAATTGTTGACCAATTCTTGCACAAGTATGCCTCGGCTCGCCAAGTCTGCGGGATTTGTAGCTGAGTCCACGTGGTGCCAATAAGTTTCCCACTTTGTCGATTATCTTGGTAATACGATAGGCTACAAATGTAGACCACGAACATGGGGGTTTGCGGATCCAGGCCAAAACAATCGTGGAATCGGTCCAAAGGTGCATCTGCAGGTGGCCTAAGTCGAGATTATGGATGACCGATTCGATGATTTCTGCCAGTAATACAGCCCCGCAAAGTTCTAATCGAGGTAGGGAAATTGTTTTTACTGGTGCAACTCTAGTTTTTGCCGTATGCCTTTTCGGATGCATCACAAAATCCATGAATTTCGACGCTCTGTTGTCGAGAATTCTACCCATCGAGGAATACGTATGTTGTTGATTTCGTTGTAGTTTTTCGTGAAAGTCTGCCACCTGTCTAATGTTCTTCGATATACGTTCTCATCCCAGTCCGTACCCTCTAACCAGATGTTTTGCATTAGTATCTTCGCAACAACAATTATCGGTGCTAGCCATCCAAGTGGATCAAAAAGATTGGTGATATCAGAAAGTATCGATATCTTTGTGAAACTCTCGGGGTTTCGATAGGCTTGGCTATAAAATAGAACTGATCAGAGTGAGCGTTCCATCTTATACCAAGCGCTTTCACACTGCTAGTGTCCTCGAACTCCAAAAAGTCTTCACTCAACAGATGTGATTTTGAAATGCCTTGTAGTATTTGGCTGCAGTTCGAAGTCCATTTTCGCAGAGGAAAACCGGCTGATTGTAAAACAGTGATGACTTCGTCTCTAGCTCGTATCGCAGAGTCGGTGGTGTGTCCGCCAGCGAGAACATCATCGACATACATGTGTTTGTGCAAAATATTCGAGGCTATCGGATGAGAGCTTTCAGAATCTTCAGCTAATTGCAGCAATGTCCTCATTGCAATATAAAGAGCACAATTCACGCCGAAAGTCACAGTCTTTAGTTCATAAAGGCTGATGGGATCGTTCGGGCAAGGTCGGAAAACTATCCATTGGTATTTGGTCTGATTGGAATCTAACAGAATTTGTCTATACTTCTTCTCAATATCGCTATTGAAAACGTATTTGAAAAGTCTCCAGCGAAGAATGAATATTGTCAGGTCAGACTGAAGCACGGGTCCTGGCACAAGAACATCGTTCAGACTGACACCATTCGCTGTTGGAGAAGACGCATTGAAAACTACACGCACCTCTGTTGACGTGCTCTCTGCTTTTATCACAGAATGATGAGGTAGATAATAGTTGTCTACGAAATCTGCTGACTGAATTGAATTTACTTTCGACATGTGGCCCATGGATTCATATTCCATGATTACTCTATTATACTCCTTTTGCAACTCAGGATTTTTCTCTAACCGTTTTTCGTTTTTGTAAAACTGGGAAAAGGCTATTTTCAGTGAAGACCCTAATGTGACTTAAGATGGGAAATCGTCTTTAAATGGAAGAGACACGATGTATCTTCTATCTTGGTTCCGCATTGTCGTTCGTTTGTAGAGCTCCTCGCATTGCTTTTCCTCCGCTGTTATTATCCTGTCTCTCGGGATGTCTTCTAACTCCCAGAAAGTGCTGAGTTGTTTATCCAGGGCCACTTCATTGAAGAACGATACGCGATTAGTAGTTGGATTGTCTGAGTCTGCCCGACCCGTCAGTGGCCAACCGAATACTATCTCTTGAGCTAATAGCGTACTTAGAACATTCTTTCGAATACCGCCTAAAATTATTTGGGGATAGATGTCACCACCTAGAACAAGATCGACTTGCTCGTTTATGAAGAACCTTTTATCCGCCAAGACAAGGTCTGAAAAAGCTTGCTGCGTGAGTGCACTGATGTGGCACGTTGGCAAATTTCCAGTAAGTCTGGGTAAAACTAACACCATCGCTTCTATCGAAATCAGTGGATCAATGGGTGACCTGAGTTGAACTGAGCATGATTCTTTCACCTCCGCAGAAACCGCATTGTTGTTGCCCGAAACTTGGGCATGCATTTTGTTGGTCGGCAGGTTGATTCTGCGTCTGAGCCTTTCCGTAATGAAAGAACACTCAGAGCCCGAATCAATTAGTGATCTCGCTGAGAACTTCGTGCCATTAAAAAGAATGTCTACACGAGCTGTACCCAATAATACACCTTTGCTTGTGTTAGCGTGATGTGTTTTTACCTTATTAACAGTTTTGCCTTTGCCTTTTGTAGATTCGCGTCGCATTTGAGCCTGTCTGGATGTGGATGCTGAAGTATCCAAAGGTTCAGAAATGTCATTCCTATTTGTTGCCTTTAGTGGTGCTTTTTGAACATGTAGGAGAGAGTGACGTCGAGAATGGCAGGTGGCGCAATTGAACGAACTAGTGCATTTCGATACCAAGTGTCCAAAGGCGAGACAGTTCCAACAACAATTATTGTTTTTTACGAAAGCAACCCTGTCGTCTACGGATAATTTGCGAAACCTTGGACACAGATGCATCTTATGTTCGTTACTCTGGCACATTTTGCACATATATTTAGAGACACTTGTTTGAAAAGCGCCAAGTCTCTTATGCGAGGGTTCAGAGGAATGCTTATAGTTCGAAACCTTTGGTGGTTTTGAAACCGTGATTCCTCTTAAAACTGAGACTGATTCTAGCGTTTGGAACCTATGTGAAAGGAATCGGTCCATATCTGTCCACTTAGAAAGGTCAGTTTTATTCTCTACCGATTGTTCCCACAGCGAAAGTGTCACCTCAGGCAGTTTTGTAGAACATAGGTACGTTACTATTGGGTCCCAATTTGAAATATCGATCTGATGGCTTTCTAAGGCAGATATGCAATTGTTGATATCCCTTTTCAGTCTGTTGATCGATGTTCCACATTCAGTTTCGACCGCTTTTAAGTTGAAGAGAATCTTCAATTGTGTATTGACCAGGATTCTCTTGTTTTCGTACCTATCACAGAGATGCTTCCAGGCTGTGTTAAAGCCTTCATTAGTTAAGGGACACTTGCTAACAATCTCCTTGGCCTCACCCTGCGTTTTCTGTCTAAGGTGATATAGCTTCTCTACTGGTGTAAGCCGTTTATTCAAACATGTGAACATGTCACGAAAAGTGTGTCGCAGGGTGGGAGATGTATGTTGTTTGAACGAGTTGACATGTCCTCGTTTTCTTTTTCTATTTTATCTAACCTATCACACAGATCGCTTATTTTCGACATGCAGCGCAAGAAAGCTGAGTAGCTCGTTTTATTTTTTTTCTTATTGCACTCAGATCTTTTGCAGGAAGTGACTCGGTTGTTAGAAGCTCGTCAAATAGAGCCTTGGCTTTATCCCACATAGCTTTCAGATCAGTTAGCTGAATTCTTAGCGAGTGTATTGAATGCTCATTAGTGGGCGTACTCATGAAGTCTATTTCAAACTTTATGACCGAGTCGGTTAAGCGATTGAAAGTTTCCATATTGACTTTTAATCGGTAAATACGACCTTACTAAAACTTTAAAGTCTTCGATTAGGATAAGCAACACAACAAAAGCGGACTTTCCAAACGCAGATGGTCAAAAAAGAAAAGAAAAACACTACTAACAACCCCAATTCGTTAAAGCAATGTGTACCAATCGAAATTTCCACCAAGTCAATCTCAGATTTATAAATTAAAAGTATGCAACCAATTCACTTTCTATATGTATGTATGTATGTTTATTAACACCGGTTATAAATATATAAAAAGTGCTTATTTCAAAAATATGATGTAGATATGTATATGTATTTAAATTATTGCTCGCCAACCATATGTATGTAGGTATTGTTGAAAAATATGAACGCGATTATGGTATTTTATTTCCCGCAATTGTAAAGAGCGCCTTTATTTTTTATATATTTATAGATATATGTATATGCATGTGTGAATAACTCAAAACGTGAAAGTGATTTTGTGAATTTGATTTGCTGAAGATATAACTTCTATGCAAGCGCAAGTGCCGTGAAAAGTTAGGTTATGTACACCGAATAAAAGGTGCAGTGTTATTGCTAGTGAATTAACACGAAATGCAAGCAACGAACGAATGAAAATGACTATTCAGAATTTTTCTTTATGTGAATTAATTACTTCGCTATTAATCAACGAAATTAATATTGTTGCAAGTTGTTTCACTCTTATTTGAAGTACATTACAACTTTTCGAAATGGCCGTAGCGCGCACTTTTGTATATGTGTTTGTGTGTGTCTAACAAGCAAACGGAATATTTTAACGCACTTAAGTCTCTTTACTTCACAAAATCACTCGCGTTGTTTAGATTTACACAATTTATAGCTCTCTGGCGCGAATTTTTCACAAAAAATACAGTGCAGTGAAATTTTTAACCACGTACCTTTAAAACTTTTTTTTTCAGGTGTCGAATCTGCTGAAAGCTGCTGTATGTTAGTAACTGCTGTAGGTTTTGAATCCTTAAACTGCTGCTGTGGTTAACGTATTCTCGCGGATTAGCCTGTCCTGATTGGCAAACAACTTGTTGGTGCTGGTGAGATAAACTTTTTCAGTCTCGTCGACAAAGGACCATATTCATCGGCGCAACACTTGGAGCAAGAAAATAGAAATAACTCGGTATTAGTATAACTAATAATAAGAGTGTTTATTCACTTAGAATTTTGTGTATATATATATATATGTACATATATTGGAATTACAGATTACCTTTCGAATAAAAATTTCTGGAACTTGGTGGCTGGATGTCTTCCTTCTCGGATAGTCGCTAAACGAGTAAGTAAACCGTTTTTGGTTTTATTTACGGTTGCCGGTCGAACTGTTTATTTAACGAAAGTTATGGTTGCATATTTTCTTAACATAGTAGTTAACAGATCGACGGCAACCATAATATCGTAAGTATGTTAATTAGTGAGTATTAGGGTGGGTCGAAAAGTTCTAGCAAATTTAGTCCGGGGCCTAAACAAGAGCGTAAGCCAAATGAGCATAACAGGAAAAGTAAAGGAACGCAAAAAACCACAATTTTAGTACAAAAAATGGCAACAACAAAACTAACGTCAAATAAGAATAGAAATGTATGTACAAAACACATTCACACAATCACAAGCACAATAAACACTTACTATATCAATTATTCTTTGCCTCCTTCCACTTTCAATTCACTTTTTTTTTAGTTTTTAGATTATTCTCACTTTTCGCGTATTCTTTAATTTCCATTAATTTAAATTCAGTTGACCTTGACACTTTCCAAGATTTTGCCAACAAAAATTCTTCTGACTAAATCTGACTACTTCGGACTGAAGAGAGTCAATCTCACTGAGTGTTTGTCTCTCGTTTCTGCTGTCATTTTCGAGTTAATAAACGCTTTTTTGACTAAATCTATCCGACTATTTCTGACTATTTCTGGGAGACAAGGAACGCAACTAATATGGCAAACAGAGTAGTATTCGCAGAAATACCGCCACACACACGCAAAAGCACGAAACGCAGCTGCATAGCAAGATCTATGGTCACAACTCATTTCATGCTCGCATTTGTCTTCATTTTGGCGACAGGCGGTCGCGCGGTTAACGGTGTCTTGGTTTTTTTATACGTTTTTGAGCGTTAAGTGATCAGTACAAAAATTTAAGTCCAATGGGCCATCGTAAGACGATTGAACAGCGAGAATTGGTCATAAACCATTTCAAAAATGTAAAATCGCAGCGAGAAATTGCTGCATTGGTTAATTTAATAATTTAGCGCTTCGTTCATGAAAATCGGATACGATATAAAGGCCGAAATGCACCAAATAAAATTTTCAATGAACGTGACGAGCGTATATATATCGGCTCCTAAACTAACCACAGAGCTTCAGCTGGAACTAGGAAAATCATTTTGCGTCGAAACTGTGCGGCGGGTGCTACGTGCACATGAGTTCAAATTAGCACAAAAAAAAAACAACTAAGCCGAGTTGCCTTTGTCAGGGAGCTGGAAACTAAGGATTCAGATTTCTGGAAGACAGTAATTTTTTCTGACGAGTCAAAGTTCAATCTTTTCGGTTCTGATGGAGTGACTTACGTTTGGCGGAAACCCAATACCGAGCTCCAGAAAAGTAACATCAAGCCAACTGTAAAACATGGTGGTGGCAGTGTTATGGTATGGGCATGTATGTCCGCAGCTGGCGTTGGAAATTTAGTCTTTGTTGAGGGTATTATGGATAAAATAATGTGCCTAAATATATTAAAAGATAACCTGCTTCAAAGTGCCGAGAAACTTGGAATACATCGAAATTTCCGTTATTACCAAGATAACGACTCAAAACAAAAATCGGCAATCGTGCAGACCTGGCTGATATGGAACTGTCCACATTTAATGAAACCACTGCCCAGTCCCCAGACATAAATGTGTTTGAGAATTTATGGTCGTTGTTGGAGAATAACATCCGCAAATATCAAGCAACACAGAGCAGCTGAAAAGTTCAATTTTGGAAGAGTGGAACAAAATCGAACCAGAAACCACGAAAAAACTAGTAGAGTCAATGCCACCTAGGCTTAAAGCTAAAAGCACACTAAATATTAAATATATTTTATAATTTATCTAACTTATTTTTAGAAAAAATGCGCTGCATGAAATAAGCTGTAACATAACATTTGGTAATGTTTTTAGTTTTTAATTCTTAATTTGTTAAACAACCGACAAATAATAAAAATGAAGTTGCTGTTTAAAACTACCCTTTCATTTCAACAACTTGGTGTTTAAATTGCATCGATACACGTTTTGGTTTTCATAACACAGCACTGGAAATTTTAATACTTTACCTGTATGAAATAAGTTGTGAGCCACTGTACATTTAGGTTTTATATTTGTTCTGTATCTGGAAATTTTTGCAAAATTATTTGGAAAATTATACACACTTATATAAGAAAGCACACCTGCTTTCGAACGAAGTAGTATTTATATCTAGTATTGCAAGAATATATAGCATTCTGTGGAAACATATGTATGCAAGTTAACTACATACATATCGTCGATGTTTTTGCAAAGCCGCCCATTGACCAGTTGCAAAACTGCCTATCGCCATTGTGACAAAAATGACATTTGGTAACCCTGAACTCCAGGCATTGAGGTTTATGCATAAGAATTGTAAAATCGGTATTAAACAACAGATTTGTAAAACAATAGTTAGAGCAAATACCGTCTTCAAACAAAAAACATTTTTTCGCTCTCCTGTAATTTGAGTGCCGCGAGATAGGCTGTTTTGCAATTGGTCGATGGGCGGTTT